TATTATAGTGCAAACCATTCTCTATTAATCCTAATACACTCATTATATAAGTCTTTAAGGGTATTAATAAGTCTACCACTATATTATAGTTCCTTACGCAGTTGTTTCTTAAGTCCTTATTTATATATTTGCATTAATAATTTGTCCTTCTAGTCTAGTTATATAGCATACTTATGGAACTCCATAGTATACTTAGCTATAGAGCGTTATTAAACTAGGGTTTAGATGGTTCGTGCGGCTATAGCTTCCTAGTTAGTAATTCCAAATATCTATTTAACACCATTCTTAAAGTTTTTATAATCTTTAATAAGTGCAACGACGCTAAGGTTACCTTATACGTAGTTAGGGTTAACGTTATTATCATTAATATCTAGGTACTTCATAATATAGGGTTGGATCCATTCTCCTATATCTCCTCTCATATAGGATGCTATAAAGAGAACTTTGTCTTCATTATCCTTGTCCTTATTTTCTTCGTAGAAGTAGAGGTCTAATTAGAGAAGCCAGATGTCAGTATAGTTTCTAACGCTATAGTATAGGTCGGGTTTATACACTTTGGTACCCTTATATTCTATTAGGGTTACCGTAGCGTTGCCCGTGTCCATAGAAGAGGTAGGAGTCCCTATTATCATGTTAGGGTGTTTAAGATGTTAAATCCAGAAGGGTAGCTAGTCCTAAAGGTTTAGGATTAGTTCTTAGTAAGACAACTAAGGGAAGGGAAGGGGTTTTATCAAGACGATAGTATCGGAGGAGGATATAACAAGTTAATAATATAGCCTAAGTGTAATCCAAACGATAGATTAATAAATAGGTTAAATACGAGTATAAGAGTTTAACGTACCTGGCAAGCGAGCGCGCCGGGCAAGCGAACGCGCCACCCTACCATACTTTCGCGCCTTTGCAGCGATCTATCTCAACAACACAATGTTATAACAGAATATAATTACTTTAATAGTTTATGTAACATCTCCAGTATCGTTCTTACACGTTCGTGAGTTATGGCCAGCCTGCCTGCAGCGGCTACAGCGCGCTGAAGCCTGCCGCCTTGCCCCTGATCGCGCCTTGCCTTGACGCACTTCCACTTCTAGCTGCTGCTCAACGTCCATTTGAGCGATAATCTCCTCTGCCTCTGCTTTTGTTAAGGTGCCTCGCTGCTGGATCCGCTTCTTTTTTCGCTGTTTATGCGTTGTGGCTGCCTCATTTGCTTTCTCAAGCCTCGCGATCCGCTCGCGCATAAGCACGGCTGAGTGCACCATCACCTCAGCGCCTTTTTTAAGCTGATCAAGGGCCTCGATGATAGAAGCAGGCGACGAGCCCTTATGCCTCTGAATCCTATCACGAATTAATGTGGATTGAGCCTCTAGTTCACGCGCGTTGCTCGGTGTTTTGGCTTCCCATACGGTGACCTCTGGCGCGGGCGGTGTTGGCGTACGAAGCTTGACATCAAGCTTTGATATCACCACCTCTAGGTCGTGTGGGACTAGGCCAGCGCCTCGAAAGCTTGCGCATATGTTCTCCTTTGTAATTGACTGCTCGTAGGCAGCGCGGAAGGCTGGTAGGAACTTAAGCTTCGTGATGTGGTTGATGTGGTCGCGTATTAGGCTCTCGATCTGGCAGCTATATGCACGCTTCAATGGCGAGAAGCAGCCAACGTCAAGTGGCTGCAGGAGGTGCGACGAATGCGGCGGCATGCAGAGAGTATAGATATTATTCTCCCTACATAGCGCCTGAAATTCGAGTAAGTTATGGCTCTCATAACCATTAAGTATGAGCAGCTGGCGCGCGCCTACCCTACGCTCTACTATATACTTGACAAAGTACTTCAGCCACTCTATCCCAAGCTCATTAGTCATCCAGCCATTATCGCTAACTGCGAAAGCCCAGTCGCGTAGTAAATCATCATCCTCGTACCAGGCAGAGAGGTGATACTGGCCTAGGAAGATGATGAAGGGTGGGATTACCCAGCCAGCAGCGTTAATTCCAAGGATTGCTGTAACCCACTTACGATCGCCTAGCTGCATAGCCTTTGGTCTGCCGCGTCTCTCTAATCCTGTGACAACGAGCTGAACTGATATCTTGCCCATCATAAAGCCAGTCTCGTCAAAGTTGTAGGTATCCTCATCGCAGATACCATAGGTAGCTTTTATGCGCGCTACAAGGTCGAACCAAGCCCTAATAGACCCAGGATCCTCACATAGGGCTCTCTGTCGATCATACGGTCGATTGAATCGTGTAGTAAGGCTTTTTGTTCACTTAACGAAGTTCCTAGGCCACTTTTCGCCAACCTGGCCAGCGTCGCGCTCAGCAAGCAGCTTATTCGCCATATCTCACACAGCACCTAGAGTGGGCGGAAATCCACGCGCATCTAGGTCAAGTATGTGCCTAGTAATTACCTCCTCTTCTAGCTTAGTAAGCTTCTTTGAGTTGGGCTGGCAATCGCGTCATGCAGCGATTCCATTACATCGTCGATTGATTGTTCGTCGCGAGACATTATAAGTAGAAGCAGCATATCTCTCACTCTTAATTTGCTTGCGATCAAGAGCTGAGATAGCTAGGATTATATTTGCTTCATTGCAGGGTGATTGGATACTAGATGGTTGAGCCATTGTTGTTGATAGGTGACGCGTCGCGAAAAGTTAGGAGGGTGGCGCGTTCGCTTGCCCGGCGCGCTCGCTTGCCAGGTACGTTAGTGTAGTAATATATACCTAATAAGTAGTCTAGTATCTCCCTAACTAAGGGAAGTAGGTACTAATCTTTAATAGTAATAGTATTAAGTCCTCTATA